CTGTAATTCCAGGGCACAGGAGGAAGAATGTGGGGACATCCCTATTTGCCAGGAGATATGCAATTGCAAAATGTGTTGCAGATGACTTATACTAAATGTTTGGTATTGTGACCTGTGATGCAATACAAAAGAATAGCTGTTGCTGTCTAAACTTTAATGGAGTTAATCCCTCCAAATGCTGACAAATTACTGCCCCAGGCCATTTAAAAATCAGATTTCTAATGCAATAATCCTATCTGCATTACAATGAGTTGGGATGAAATGATTAGGTGCCTGATATTTTTGCACAGTGAATTAAGTCACTGTACTGGCTGACCGTGCTTGTTCACAAATTAAAGGTCTAGACAGAAATGAAATTCCATTATTCTGCCACTTACTAAGCTTCGAGAAAGGGTTCATTACTGTCCTGTCTCTACTGGGAAGGTTTCTAAAGTAGCTACAAGCTATCAGGAACCTATTTTTCCATTATATCAACTGCGCAGCTTTTTTCATTATTAATATTATTAGTCAAGCCTTTGACTACTGAACACTTCTGAAATGGGAAAAGGCTAAATCAACAATACATGAGAACAAGTGAGCAAAAGTTTCAGAAAAATGCAAGATGTAATTTTTTTCGCCCATAATCCACAGGATTTTTCATGGTTAGTCATGGGCCTAAACCAGATCTATTTATCCACCGCCCCGAAACTGTGGGCCATTCAGCTAAATGGACCAGGATACAAACCACTTAACAAATGGTGTTTTACAAAACTAACCTCTGTTTCGGCCATCTCTAACGTTTAGTTAATATGTTTCAGGTAGATAAATGTAAGCACGGAAATTATTTCCAATATAAATTACCTCTTCTGGTAAAGGCCATATTTTGGATTTTGTTGAACCCCAGAACAAGGTAACTTTGGAAAGCCTGAGACTGCACTCTTGATCTGAATATTCATGTTATTTATATATACGCACACAGAGCAGAATCTTTAGTTAACCCATTTTTTTTAATACATAATGTCTGTGTTTATGTTTAGCATCATTGAAGTCAATGGGAATTTTGCCACTGACTTACATGCAGACAAGATTTAATCTCAAGTCTATAATAAATGTAAAGATATCACATTATACATGTTTATAGATAAAGTTGAGTCTGATGCCCTTCTGAAGACATATTCCAAATGGGCCAGGTTCAGAAAAAAGCTTAATGAACTCTTTTAAAGGAGAAAAGGATTAAGGAATAAAAACCTACCAATAGTCACTCATTTCTGAGACAGTCCCTATTGCTGTTCAAATGGCATACTTCATTAAAATTGCCTCTAAAATATACTGAATTCCTTTTAATATACAGCACAGTGTATAATTAATTACAACCTTCTAAGATCAGTTGTGTTAATCAGATTCAACACATGTGTTTCAGGGTACAGTTACAGTAACTCATCTCATTCTCATAGTACTTAACCCCTTGAATGCAGATAGCTAGTTTGTGTACATAGTTTATATCTGTATCACCAGAGGAAAAGGGATTTGAGCTTTATGATGCCTATTCCAGATGCCAGGAGTGCAGCATTTAAATGGTTAAACTAAGGTAGAACTTCTGTAATTAGAACTAATCTTTCTGCCAAACAACAAAAACCTTAAATTTCCATCCTGTTGACATATTTAGAATGAATGTTTCTAGTTAAAGTTAAAGCTCCACACCTCAGTGCTAACAATGAGCTAGTCAGAGACAGCCTTGTTCCATGTTAAGTATTGCTTTTTCTGTACCAATGTAATGCTTCACTGCATAGCTTCATACTCAGTCTGCTTACACAGCAATTAAGTGTGGTATTAGGCTAGATAGATATATGCAAACATTTTAAATTATATGATTACTCAGTATGAAAGAATTTATGTAGGTACAGGTTCAGATAAATCATTGCAGATTCTATTAATCTCTATTGTGTATATGCCAAAATAAAGCTGCTAATGGATTATTATATTCACTACTACAATATCAACTACCCAAAGTTATATGCATTTTAAATACAATATAAATGCAAAATGAAAAAATATATTTTGCTGACTATAGATATAATGCTTATGAAATTTCCAGGCTACTTTCAGCAGCAGCAGAAAAACAAAAAAAAACGTGTAGGTCAGCTAGATCCATACGAGATGACTGATGCTTTTTAGATCCCCTATTTGATGATTCTCCCAATATTTCATAGTTACAAATGGATGTTAGTGTCCACCAGAATATGGTTAATTACTATGGATCCTGCAAGGTGCTGAGCAAGTTGCTCCTGAGGGATACTGAGAACCATACATTTGACCTGCTCCTACTGAATTAAATTGTCAAATGCCCATTGAAATCAATGGGAGCAGAATTGTTTCAGTGGGAGCTGAGGGTGTTCAGCAACTTTCAGAACGCTAAGAACAGTAATACACTAGATCCATTTATGGGCCTGATCCTGAAAGTCTTACATGAGGAAGCTTTACAAATAACCCTAATAAAGAACTACTCACATGTTTATTATGGTAGTGCCTAGAGATTAACCAAGAATGAGGCCCCATTGTCCTAGGCAGCTACAAACAGAGTAGACAGTCCCTGTCGCAATTCTAAGTCCTGCTTACATAGACAAGGTAGACAAAAGATAGGAGAAAGGGATATCCATGCACACATACAAGCAGAGTGATGGTTTGTAAATGGTATGTTAATTCCATAATTTGTTTATTCATTTGTGAATGGGGGGGCATGCTAAATGGAAGGGGAAGAGAGAAGGGACATTAAGGAGGAGAGGGAGGAAGAATTACTCAAGTGCATAAGGCTTGCAGGATCAGGCCTCTATAACGCCATCATTGGCAGCTGGATTTTTTTAAATGTATTTTATTTATTTATTTATTTGAGTGGACAATGCTAAGGTAAATGATTCCAGGGGATTTAATGCAGATGGGAATGAAGGTAATGACTGCAGCCTTTAGAGTGTTATAATAGAGAACCATACAAGAGTGCGGAAGAGTTTTTACCTCATACAATGAGATCTATCATTTAATGCCTGGCATTTTATGATGGGCAGAAAACCCTACAGTTTACGATTTATCCAACCATTACTGTAAAATATGATTCCCCCTCTTATCTCAAAGCTCACATTATGACAATCACACGGGCAGTAATTCCAAAGCTGGCAAGTCATAGCTGTTGCATATCATGTAACCTGAAAATTTTAAATAAATTAATTCCAAGCACAGCTTCCTCAGGATTCAGCAACAGTTATGAATATTTATTTAAGTCAATTTAACCCTTTCAACATACTTTTTTCCCCCGGTTTGTGAATAATTCAGCTTAAACAAACCAGCTATTGAGATGAGGTTACTACTAGCCCTTATTCTGTTGTTTGGGATCACACTGATTCCCTTTCACAACACAAGGCACATACATACATACATACATACATACATAATGGTAAATACAACAACAGTACTAAAGACCCTTCCACAGCAATCAGCTCTTTTCCTGGTACTTCTTTATTGTAACCACTAATGAAAACTCTTTGAAGTGGAAGAGTAAATATTATCATTTGATAGTACTTGGGCCCAACAGTGCAAACACAATTGCATTGTGTTACATTCTGGGAGCTCTAGACCTATTCACAATACAGCACTTGCAGGGTTGCTATGGAGGAGTCCAGTGCTTACAATTCTGTTGGCACTCAATCAGCACAAGAGCTGCTGATCACTCTTTCAGGGCTGTTCACCTTAATCTTCATCTGCAATACAAGTGGAAAAACTACTGACTATAGAGGATGGCTTTAGTAGGGCCACATTTTCCAATGCTGACCACCCACAGTCAGAGCCAAAAAAACAACTCTGCTTTAGGCACTTAACCAGATTTTCAAAAATGCTCTGCACCCAGCAGCTCCCAATATGACACCTGTGGCCAGATCCCTCATCTCTTTAAGAGAGATCATTGCCCTTATGGTTGAGGTTGTAGCTGGGGACTCTGGGGACCTGGGTGCAATTGCTTGCTCTGACAGACTCCCTGTGTGAGTTTAGGTACTTCACTTTCTCCTCCTTAGTTACCCATCTGTAAAATGGGGCTAATGGTAGTTCCCTAACTCCCAGGGATGCTATGAGAATAACTGTATTGATAATTAAAAGGTACTCAAAATACTAGTGTTAAGGGCCAAGTAAGTACCTAGAGAGATCTGGGTGCTTGTTTGAAAGTCTGGCCCCTAGAGGGGAAGAGAGAAGCGGTATGAAGTGGGAGAGGGACCACAGATGCTCAGACATTTGCACCGTAGCCCATCCTCTGTTACCAAACAATACAATAGGTACCTGGGGAATCAGAGAACAAAAATACCAGCAATGGAATGAAAGGGGGAGGCAAAGAAAGGCTTGAGGGACTGTCTCAAAACGTCCAGAAGCCTTCCACATGTGCAAGGGCAGAGGAGAGATTCCAACAGGGACAAAGGGGGGGAAGGGGACTGGAGGGAAAGAAGAGCTAGGAAATGGGGAATAAAAACAGAGTATTTAAAAGCCCGCCCCCCAAATGAGGGGTGACCCCGACCTCCATCAATCCTGGCTGTGAGTCTGCTGGCGTCAGTGGAGCCCCGCTGGCTTTGTGAATGGGGGTGGGAGCATGAGCTGTGGAGGGGCAGTTAATGCCCCCGCCTGCCCCCAGGGAGTGTTTGCCCACAACCCGCCGTGCCCCCCTGGCGGGACCGCAGCCCACGCGGCTCTCTCGCCCGCCCGCCCGGCCCCGCTCACCTTGCTGCTGAAGGGCCCGGGGATGAGCAGTTTCAAAGCCTGTCTCTTCAGCTCCACCAGGCGGGCGTTGCAGTTCTCGCACCAGACCCCGCTGCCGGAGCCCGGCGAGGAGCCGCCCCCGCTGCCAGAGCCCGGGGAGGAACCGCCCCCGCTGCCAGAGCCCGGCGAGCCCGTGCCGAAGCCCGGGGAGCCCCCCAGCGAGCCCGGGGAGCTGCTGCCGATGCCCGGGGAGGCAGGACCCGGCGAGCCGCTGAAGGAGCCCGGCGAGGAGGTGCCGGATCCGGGGGACGGGGTGCCGGACGAGCCCAGGACGGAGCCGGCTCCCTCTGGGGCTGGGCGGCTCCCAGCCCGGGATTCCTCGTAAGCTTTCCGGTACCAGCTCTCGGGGGAGAAGGGGGCCGCGGGCTTGGTGGGGGAGCAGGGCTCGGTCACCTGGAGGAGGAGCAGAGGGGGAGGCAGCGAGTGAGGCGCGGGCGGCGGCGGGCAGACCTCGCGGGGCCGGCCAGCTGCAGTCGGTGATTGCGGCTGCTCGACCGACCCCAGCTGCGAAGCGCCCGGCCCCCCGCGCCCTGCATTGTCTCCGGGCGGCCACCTGAGAGCGGCTGGGGCCGGGAGGGGGCAAAGCGGTACCGCTTCCGCTCCCCACCCCACGGCTGTCTCCAGCCCCACGCACTGCGGTAGCTCGGGGACTCCTTCCCGGGCAGGGGGTGTCAATCCACACTGCACGTGTGATCGACAGAATCGATCCCGACCGGTATGGGGCCGTGCAAAGCGAGGTCAGCTCGAATCGCACATTGAAATGCAACCCGGGGCTGGAAATAAAAACAAAGTTATGCAGGGAGGATGAGGAGGGCGAAAGTCTACAGCGATCGCAGGGGGAAAGGAACCCAGGGTACTTCATGCACTTTAGAGCTGGTTGAATAGACCAAGTAATATACTCAGCCAGGTGAAGCTCTGAATGGGAACATGCAGCTTAATAAGGTTCACATGTTGGTATCATTTGTCACAGGTTTACAGGGAAAGCTATAGCATGGGTCCTTGGGAAGGAGGGGGAATTAAAACCCTCAGCGCAGATGGATTTAAAAGATTCCCTGCATTTCATGTATGGATAACTTACCCCGTATTTCCTGCTTCTGGTTGTGACTGCAATTCTCTCTTTATTTCCAGCCACTGAATTCATGATGATTTTTATAAAACAGGAGAATGTCCTAAAAATGTCCCACGTTACATCCAAAATAGAGACTTTTCAATCCAATAAGGTTCACCAGCTGGATAGATAGACTGTAAGCACTGCACCAAATTCAACCTTTTCCTCCAGAGAAAAAACACTGAGCCCAGAAGCACCATCAATTTTCAGGCAAATGTTTTGGATTTTTTTTTTCTTCAAAACCTCTTTTTCCTCATGATCTTCTCTCTCTTTCACTTACACCCCTTGTTTTCACAGACACACCAACATCCAGAGTATCAGCATTTCCCCCCACCAGACAGTACAGTTTTCCTCCACAAGTGAAATGAACAATCACATCCAAGGTAGCTTTAGGAAGGTATAAGAGAGAGAAAGCCAGAGAGCTATGCTCTGCCTAGAAGCAGAGATTTCTCTCTCTGCTACTGGTGCTGTGGTAACTTGTTTCCTTCACTAAGGTTTGTAACTGAGTTAAAAGAAATCCTCCAAAAATATCAGGATCCAGTCTCTGGGAGGAGCTTCCGAGTCCCTTGCAGCCAATATCCTTCTGCCCATTTGTGCCTGACAGTTTTGTGAGGGAAAGGAAGACTCTGGCTATATAACACTCCTTGGTCAGCAGAGGAGCTGCAGAACGTTTGCAACTGACGCCCCTGAAGCCTTTGAAAATACTGTCAAAGCTTCACTGCAGTTCTGTGCAATAGGTTAGCTGTTGAGGAGGTTCCATTTTATTTTGCAGTGTTTCTTGATTGACATTTGTGATTTTTTTTCTTCTTAAAAACAAACAAAACCCCAGCCACCTTGTTGCTTCCCTGCAGTTATTGGTTAGTTGCCAATATCCAGGGCTTTAATGAACACTATTTTTGCAAGTGTTCCAAATATTGTATAAATAATCATGAAAGGAAAGCAGGCTGGAATGTTTGCCACATCTATAACAGTCACTGGAATCTCTTTGTCTGTGTTATTGTTTTGAATGTATTAATTAAACTTGCAATAAAGGGCATGTTACAGTGACTTGTTAACAATCAAATCCCAAAGTCTTACTATGTCTCCCCCTCTCCCCCTGCCCTGTTTCATAGAGGAAGGTTATTTTGCCCCCTGAGCCCTATTTATTTCAAATCCTGAAGGCAGCACAAACATTTCTAATAAATCTCTTCAAAAATTCACTTGTTGGTTCCCACAGAAACTAATGAAACTAAGAAACTACGGCCCAGATCCTAATGGGTATTTAGGTTCCTCATTCCCATTGAAATCAAAGGGAGTGAGGTGCCTAAATACTTTTGAGGATCTGGGGCTTAGTACCAGATCCCCTGATATGGTCAAAATGCAGAGTGCAAATTAGGGGGCATGATGCAAAGGTGGCTTAACCCCCACCTTTTCACTCTTCTGGTACTGGTGCTGCTCTGTGAATAGCATTCCCTCTACACTGTTAGAGCAGCTTTTGGTCTGCTCTAATGTACACTGGGATGTAATGGCCACAAGGGGCCAAAAGTGAAGTCCTGTGTTCCTGAGCTGTAGAGAGAGCCCAGTGATGCCCCCTTTTCTTAACTATGCTGCTAGCAGGAAGGGTATATAGCATAAGAGCCTCTCAGTTGGTTTGACACAACCTATTATCTTTATTTTGGAACAATTCTTCCTATGCTGGTTGAATCAGCTTTACAGCCAGATTACACAGGTAGTGCAGCAGAAAACAACCACACTTCTGACTCTGAATATTTACAAACACATTAAAATAGGATCAAAAGGGCAAACAAAGAAGGTTCTACTTGGGTCTCTCTAGATACAACCACATTTCAGAAAACTTTCGATATAGAGGTACAAAGTTATTCATTCCACTGTTAGGAGCAATCAGGACCACAAAGTAATGAAGAAAAAGCAATGCAAGTCCCAGCTTCCTGGTATTACAGAATGACTGTGCTCTGTTCTCAGTCCCACAGGAACAGAGACCATGAATAGAGGCAGGCATGTGCCATGTACACCATAGTGTATAACTTTTAATTTTGGGGGCTCAGCATTTCTTACAGTGAACTGGCAGATTTGCTTTTCTTCAACAGACCTTTCATTACCCCACTGCTAGATGTGCCTGCCTACCCACATCTGCTGTGTTAGTGATCATCAAAGGGTGTGTCACGGCATGCCTTCCTTGGGAGATTATGGATATAGTGTGGCCAGGGGGCAACAGATTGGCTAACATGCTTACACATTCCAAATTGCAGGCTACTGCCCTGTTAGGGATTGAGAAGCAGAGAATCTACAACATCTTGGTGTCCATCTCCTTGAAAAGTTCATAGGGAGGAAACAGTAGGTATTAGAGGGTGTGAATGGACACAACAACAGTTCAAGGATGATCAATGAGGCAATATTGTACAGCTAATTGGTGAAGCAGCAAACACAAAAGTGCATTTAAATGCTCGATGGTTTTCATCATTTAGAGATGCCAAATACTGCAAGGAAGAAGTAGCAGAGAGAGAGAGAGAAATAACACCCACTAATGCTTCAGTGTATTACCTGTAGCCTTGTCTACACAAGGGAAATTAGGACACATAATTGGCCACCTTTGCAGCTCCACCAGTGAGAGCAATAGTGGCAGATGGAAATAAGGAATATTTTTTAACAGCAGGGGTAATTAACCACTGCAATAATTTACTGAAGGTTGTGGTGGATTTTCCCTCACTAGGAATTTTTAAATCAAAATTGGATTTTTTAAAAAGATATGCTCTATCAAACAGGAGTTATTTTGGGGCAGTGCTATGGCCTGTGTTATACAGGAAGTCTGGAGTCTAGAAATCTAGAGCATCCAGGATTTAGGCGTTCTGACCACTTTGCCGTCTAACCTTGATCGCAGTAAAATTAGATAACAAAGTGGTAAAAATGCCTTAGTCCTGTCTATATTGTAGCCCCCAGTGATGCTGCCACTGGTGGAGCTGCAATAGGGCTGTATCAATGATGAATCCTGGTCACGTGCCACCTGAGGCATGTTGCGCATATGCTAAGAAGATCATGGCTCCTAAATTTACATAGATGTTGCCTTGCAGTGTGGGCCAATGAGGATGAGAGCCCTCAGCACATCTTCCTCTGCTGCATTTGTATTCACCAAAACAGCTGCAAGTGAAATTTCACTGCCATTAGCAACACTGCTTATCAGATTAAAGGCAGTGCAACTGCATCCATGAGATGAAATGGACAAAGTGGTCATGCAAAAAAACCCCAAACAAACAAAACAAAACAAAACAAACCTCTTGCAAATTTGTCACGTTGAACAGCCATGATTTGTATTCCAAAGCAGTGGAGTCCAGAGAGAGAGAGAGAGAGAAGCTTTCAGTGGGATGTGAGTGCCCTCTGCTGTTTGTAGTGTATAACATGTGGAATGTGGTATTTTGATCCTTACTGTAAAGATTCCTGTAATATTTCCTATAAGGGAACTGTGATGGGGTGGCCTGCCCTAATCATCAGCCCACCCCACCACCTGTCATGGCTCTTTAATGATTTTGATAGGCCCAATAAAGATATTCAAGGACCTAAGGAGAGATAGAGCTAGAGAAGAAGCAGTACCCAGAATAAGCAGTGATTGGGAGAAAAATAGGCACTGTTTCTTTAAAGGCTTGGGACTAGGAGTCTGGCAGAGTGCATGAGGCATGGCTCCTGTCTTCCCCAACCAGTTGGAGGACGAACTGGGAGAAAGGGGCTAGCATATAGGCTGCCTCCTCTCTCACAGAAGATGGCTGGTCTGCTGAGCCCTCCAGCTGGGAAGGCCAAATAGAGACAGCATTTAGCTAAAGGAAGCTGGCAAAAACCTTGCAGCTGACTATTACAAGGCAAGAGGCCTGTGACACAAACCTCAGCTCCAGGAAGAGGCTAAGGAGGAGGGAGGAATCGACTGCTCTAAAAGCACGAGGCAGAGGGAGTGCTTGCAGTGCAGCCCAGCTGCTGCAGGGAAGAGCCACCATCATAGCTGGCTAGGGAGAAGCTCTGACACATCACAGGTCTAGGCAAGGATAGCATAGTCTAGAGATCTGGTGAAGACATTGATAAGTGTGTTGAGGGTAGGAGCAGCTCATGGAAGTGGCGGAGGGATGAAGGAAACAGTCTTTGTCTGCCTAAAACAGAGTAATTGGGCTGGTACCCATAGGAGAGGGCAGGCCTGGGTTCCCCTGCCTCGCCCCTGGACAAAGAGTGGGTGCATGAGCCCAAGAACAAGAAGGTCCAGATAAATGTTGGGAGATGGGCTTGAAGTCCGTTAGATTTTGAGTTTCCTATTTTTGGACTTTTTGGACCTGGAGGGGAATGGACTGAGTAGTAACAGAGAAAATGATAGATTACTGTGGAACCAGAATGGCTAAAGGGGGCACAAAACTTAAAATAAAAACCCTGCAACACCACACCTGAACAGTGGAGGCACTCTACAGGAACATTACTGTCTGTGCTAAACTTACCAAAATCAAAGTAAACTGGCCATTTGCCTAGGATCCTGTGATGGCAATAATTTGCTCTTTCACCTGCCGAGTTCTGAATTTTTCAGTACCAGAGAATAACAGGCAAGGAGACTTCTGCTCATACTTGCTTTCCACTATACTTATAGCTTCTGAATCTTTCTGTTTTTGGGGCCACCTCACTGTAAAAGTGAAACACACAAATGCATGCAAATCTTGCTAAATAATCTTTTGCATCCCATTTAGTCCTGTTTCTCTACAGGTTTCATATATCTGTAGGAGTTCCTGATTTATGTTTGTGTAAATGAGAGGAGGACCCCTGTGGCCCAGTCAGGACCACCCCCTCCACTCCAACCCCTGGATCTAAAACTGTGCAGAGAAGATCCCCTTCCACTCACAAACACACACTACAGGGGCAGTAGAACTCAGAGGTTGTCTATTCACCATGTAGCCTTGAGGGAAAACAGCAGAGAGGAGCCAGCCAGTAGCAGCTGAAGCAGCCAAAGCGGGGACCTTTGGCAATTCACAGAACTTGCTACCATTTTCATTGGACTGCTCTGTGTTGACTGGCTGTCTGCTCCAAACCTCCCTTTCCCTCACAGTCACTTCACTCCACATCTGCCCTCTTCTCCTCTTCTCCCACTGCCCTGTGCCCTTGTTCCCTTTTTCTGGCCATTTAGCTGATCCTCCTCCTAAGTAAATTCATCCCACCAAAAAACAAAACAAAAAACATGGAGCTAACATGACATTTACTGCCATCACCTTGTTCACACTCCTTCCCCCTCCCTGTGTCTGTCTGGTCTATTTAGTGTGTCAGCTGTTTGAGGCAGGGACCATTGACTGCTCTGTTTGTACAGTGAGGTCCCATTGTTGGCTGGCCCTTAGATGCTACTGTAATAAACATTATTATCAAAAACATATTGGGTAGGATTTTGCTGAGATGCAAAACTGGACTAATTCCATTTATTTCAGTGGAGTTACTTTGGATTTACACTGGTGTGAAAACACAATCTGGGCACATCTTTTGTATTCTCATTTCTGAGTGATTTCCATATTAGTTCGGGAAAGAGATACCAATGGGGCTGAAAGTGGGCATGTGCCAGATGCTGCTGTGTTTCTTGGTTAAAGCAGCTTACACTGTCTATGTGGTGTCTAGATGACTATGGAGGCAATATTCACATATGATCTACTGGTGTTCTCCAGTGGCCCATCCTTACGTCATTAGCTTCCTAAACAAATTCCTTTTGTGAAGTAATTTTGGCCTGCTTCCCAAAAGAGAATTGTTTTTGAAAGCTTGAACAAAAACTGTTCAGCTGATTTTGGGTTAGCTGAGGATGATAAGAATACTTGTTTTGTTCTTTTTTGAAATTTGCTGACTCTTTGTGATCAAAAAATGACTAATTTTTGGAATATCAAAATTGGTATATGAATGTCCTTCAGTATAAACCTCTAAGAGGTCACTGAGGACTTGATCCTGTATTCATTGAAGTCAATGGCAAAGCTCTCATTGATTTTAATGGTGCAGGATCAAGGTCTATATCTCTTTAATATGTTTGATAATTAGTTAAGATATAAGAAAGTTATGAGCAAAAACCTCATA